AAAAAAAACTATATTTACACCACATAAAAATAGCCAGAAGTGCAATGTGTAGCAGTTGGGCAAAAACAGATCACAAGTATACCAATGGATACTGTTTTATAGTAAGTTCAGTAGAACTTACTATAAAACAGTATCCATTGAAGGTACATGTCTGAAACTTTACTAATTTTGGAATGAGAAATTCAATAAAATAGCTCTTTTCACTGTAATAAATGTATCTTTGGAACATTTTTATGAAATTATATAATTTTCAACCTATCAAAAATGGCACAGTAATGACTACAAAACTTTGAAATTTGTTTTACAAACAGAAAACAAATATTTTATAAGACTTGATAGAGATAAAATGTTGATTCCACTGGTCCAATAGCATCTGACAAAGACCATTGGAAATAATAATTTCTGCTCTTTTTTGGAGCTAAAAATATTATCACAGCACTGAATGGAGATGCAATATCAATGACTTGGCCAATGTAAATGTTGGATTCATAAAACATACTACAATCTATTTGTATTGGCAGTCATAACTGACTGGCCCCTGAAATGGTTCTGCTTCATAACTGCTAGAGTTTTTTTTTTATACTCAGAATTACTGAGTGCCTTTTCTTCCCTCCTTTGTCTTAGAGGGGAAGATTTTTTTGTCAAGTAGTTGCAAAGAGCAGCTTCCAGTTTGATTTACTTTCAGTGGTGTTGATCTGGATACGTAAAAGAACCTTCAGATTTCTAAGTTGATCTTTCAGTGCTTCCAAACCACTGCCTGTTGTAGATCTTTATAGACTTCACAATCACTTGATGACTGAGTTAATGATTCCCTGTTTCTCAACAGCAACTTGACACTCTTTTTTCTTCTTTTGCCTCTCAATTTTAGCAATCCTTTTCATGGTGATTCATTTACATTTAAAGTCACAAAGACTATAAATAGCTATGACTATTACCCACAAGGCAGTTGAGTACTTACTACTTCCTGCAAGTAATACTGAGTAACAGTGGTGCCACTCATATCTAACAAATCGAATGAACAATTATCACTTGATATTTATGAATACGCACAAGCATGGCTTAGAATACAAGCAGCTAAAGTTAGAACAAAAATGCTAAAGGATTCAAAAGCAAATAACAGATGTGAAAATGAACAAAAGCAATCATTGGAGGGGCACCTAAAAAAAAAAGTTAAGACCTCTCATATCTAGACAATCTCATAGGAGGAAGATGGTGAGGAGACAAAGGCTCCCAGAAAAAGTACCAGGGAAAATAAGGAGATAAAACCTCTTCGGCTCTTACACTAGGTGCCATGCTGCTTAGAAGTAATTGTAGATCTCATTTTGTAATTTGCAGGTGGCTTCTTTGTTTAGTAAGAAGCTGTGTAACTGTGCGTAATCCATTCAGCCATATAGCAAGTTGGACAAGCAATGAAGTTTGATAGTCTCCCACAGTTTTAGATACATTTAAAAAAAACTTATAGCCAATATTGATTAATTTTTGAAAATTTAAAAAAATTAATAAATGCCCATAGCCCTCCATCCGAGTATGTTCACTGCCCTTCAAATGAAATAAAATCTCCCAGTGCCCCTCTTCAGTGTAACAATGCCTACAAGGGGATGCCCATATTGGGAAACACTGCTCTAAACAAAATGTGACTTATTTTATAATGATGTATGAATGGATGTTGAAACGTTCTCAGCCTTGCTCATTTTTGAAAATTTAACCAAAATTTAAAAGATTTCAAAATTGTTTTATTAATTTCTGTTGTGTTTATGATGTTAAAATAAAATAAAAAATGTTAGCATTAAAGTACACATTACAAGATCCAAGAGCCACTCAAAGTAAAGGGTTACTGTGTTGTGTTGTATGAGCATGAGAAAAGGCAAGGGAAATTCATGAGATCATGCAGGAAAGATAATGATTACCCCTAAACTTGAAGAAGTCAAGCTTGTAATGATTGGAAAAAATATCCTGCTGGGAGTGTTTTCCACAAAGCAGCAATATGTGGGAAGAAACTGTCCAAGTGGAACTTACTTTTTACTAATGTTACGTGTTGATAATTGTAACAAAGGAAAAAAAAATGATTTACCACAATACAGAGCTAAATTACAAACAAATATTTAATTTACTAAAACACAACATAAAATATATACAAGATAAACAATTGTGGCCTAGAAAACACAGAGTTACTGGCGAAGTGTTACGAGGGAGAAGGAAAGGGAATCAAATATCTTTATCACTTTAGGGCTAGTGAAGTAATCTAAGTGCTATATTTGGAAATCCACAAAGAAGTGTAAAAAAAATATAAATTTTTAGTTTGGTCAATGAAAATTAGTCAAAATTCTATTTACCAAATTCGTTCTATGAAATTCTCTTTTGGGTTTTGGTTGGTCGCCAACTTTTTATAGAGATTCTTTCGGCTGGATATAATAGTCCTTGAATCAAAAGCCGGAGTTGATAACAGAAGAAATTCCCATTCATCAACTGACAACCCTTTTCCAAAATCCCATTTTTATAGGGGCTGACACCTAATTTGCATATTTCTAGATGTTTCTCAAATCATCTAGATTTTTCTCGAATATACTAGAATGATCTAGAATCTTCCAAACCTTCTATTTCTAATTTCTCTATTTTTCAACTACTTCATGAATAAAAACTTTTTTTGTAATAACAAGTAGAACTCAGTGGAATCCCTTATTATAGAAATGCATCCTCGTAACACCAATATGAAGGAAATGGGGATGATTCAAACTTGTGTATGTGATGTGGTGGGTCCCAGTTGTAAAGGTCAGGGGTGGTGGGACTCAGCTCATCAAAACACATGTCATAAAAATAGCAATAATGCAGCAAAACGCTTGTGATATTTCATCTGGTGGGAAAGGTATTGTGGCGTGGAAAAAATTAATCACCCACAATGCTGCTCTGTAGACACTTTTTAACTCTGTCAAGACAGGCAACTAAGGATTAGGCAGATCCAGCCCAGATAAGGCAGCAGTATTCCATACTTGCTCTGATTTGACGTTTGTGAAAAAATATTAGGTTGGTGCAATAATAATGTCGTTTTTTGACGTATTTTTTTAACGTCAAAAAACGACATTCTTACGTCATTATTTTTGCACCAACCTAATAGTATAGCTGGGAGAGACAGTTACTGGAGCAGAGAGATGAACTGACCATATTTTTTAGTAATACATTGGATATTTATATGAGTTCCATTTAAGGTTTGGAGAGAGCTTGAATCCCAATAGACATTAAATGCATTGAAATATTTTTCATCCTTATGCATGTTTAGATATTTAATTTTGACATATAAATAAAGTTGAAAGTGAAATCATTACATCAACAAAATAATGATTGTAAAATTGTTTTATTAATGTCTTCATTTGGATTAATGATATTAAAATGAAAAACAAAGATGACATTGAATTAAATAAGGAGAAAAAAAAACTTATTAAATGTAATTTGAGATAAAAAATGACAGCATATTTGAGTCAATCATTATTATTGTTAACAAAAGAAAATTAAAATCCATAATGTTCCAGCGTCCTGGGTATGACGATAAACTACGTCCAACAGCAAGGCCTCGGATAATGTTTTCGGAAAAATGTTGCCAGCTATACGCTTTTTGGAAACCATAATGTTGCCAGCTATATTGTTTAATAGTACTGTATAGTTAATATATATATGGGTATGTGTGTGTGTATATATATATATATATATATATATATATATATATATATGACTTGGCATTAAATGACCTACAGTGGTAGATATGCCATAAAACCCAACCAACCCAGCTATGGGAAAATAGTTAACCCTGAAACTGAGGTAAAAAGCATCATAAAATATTACCAGCAATACATTTTTAAAGAAAAAAAACAATTACCATCTATACATTTTTGGAAAAAATAATACCAGCTATACGGTTTTGAAAAAAAATATATTACCAGCGATACATTTTTGAGTAAAAAAATATTAACAGAAATAGTTTTGACAAAACAAAATTACCAGGAAAAAAAAAAGTTGTCGGCATTAAATGACCCATTGAGGTTGATATGCCGTAAAACAAAACAAACATAATGTTCCAGGATTATTTTAATTTAGCAATATTCAGATACATTTTATTGTTATTATTTACGCGTAGACTATTGTCTTCATCTTTGTTGTTACCACATTTCAGGCTTTCTGCCCTTTGGCCTTCATCAGGTGTATTCTGAACTAAAAACTTTATTTAAAGTACTGTTCTCATTCCATTGCCCATATCTTGGGATAGCCTAGTAGATTAAAGTGGTTCATGTATTTGGTAACAGTAAGAGTGAGTTCAATCCTTAGGCTGGGCAGTGTGTATTTGGACTCAGAGTGATCAATAATTGGGCAAACTAAAAGTAAGAACTAGATGAGATATCCCTAGACATGATCAGTGGAAAGAGAGCAATCTACCTAAGAGTGGATAGGTTCCCCTATCACTTGGTTCACAATCCTCCCTGGTTATTTTGAACAGGAGTAGAGGTTTATTCCTTGTTTCCTGTTTAGGATTGCACTTCCAGTTCCTTCTAATTTTTCACTGCCAATAGCCCCTTGTGTCTTAGTGGATATATTGCCTTTCTTGGTATGAATTGATTTAAAAAAAAAAATAAAAGTATTAGTAGAGATCAGTGTGTTATTCTGTTGGTTATGTTGCCTTGTAATAAATTTTTAATGTAGATGCCATTTATGACACTATAGCTAGTATAGAAGTGTATTGTTGAATTAATTGGTTTTTTATGGGTTATCAATACTTTGCAGGTTATATTAAAAGAAATATTTTTTTATTGTAAGAATTGGGGGGGGGGGAGATAATGGTTTAGTGATACAAGTTTTACTAATTAGTCCATAACTAAGGAGAAAAGAGGTGGATTCATACCTTCCCTAAGGGTATTTTTGCATAAATGAATATAACAAACACAACTGGATTTGGAACTTGGCTCTCTGATTAACAATTCCAAGTCATTAGCCATTACATCACCTGAACATCCAAGCTTACATCACCTGGTATTCCCAAGTAGTCACCCATCTAGGTACTGACCAAGCTTAACTTAATATTGCTTAACTTCAGTGATTGTATAGGAACAGGTGTTTCAAGGTGATATGGCTGTAAGTCTAGAATTTGAAATCCTGAACCTAATTTCTTTCTTGCCTGCTGCTGATGACATTACACTTGACAGTATTTCTTACTACTGCTAAATCCCTGCTACTATTTCTTTATTTGATAATGGCACATCATATTTATTACTCTCCTATCCAAAGGCCTAGCAGGGAAATAAATATCATATAGGAGTCGGAGGGTACAACAATCAAACCACTGAGATAATAAAAAAAAAAGAAGAGAACATTAGTTTAAATGTAAACAATATAAATAATGAATCTCAATAAATGAAGAAAAAAGCTTGTGGAGTAATGTTATACTATAAACAGTCGTGTAGAAAGGGAAGTGGTTTTATCTCAATCTCAAATGTTTCTGTTTGATAGACACCAGATGGTTCCTTTTGAAGTTTGGTCTTTGAAAGTAAAGGAGTGAATGAGGGTGCTTTGGAGATCAAGTGACAACAAAACTGGAAATAGGGTCTATCCGAGTGCTGGTCTTTATTAACAGTCATACATTGATTGGAGAGAGTTCTGATCTGTCTTTGGCGGAAGACAAACTTATTCCGATACCATCCATTCGCATTGCCAGTTTCCATGCCAGGATGTGTTAATGGATGTGAAGTTGGTAGGGAGAAGAAACCCATGTTGCAGAAGTTGTCCAGTATGACCTACCTTAATGAGCAGGTGAAGTCCTGAATAAAACATCTTTTTTATAATGTGAAAAACAGGGTTTGTTATCTTCATGCAACAAGACATTTGTCTTTCATCTTGTTACTTTGTGAGCATGCAGTGGGTCCTGGCCCAAGTTTGGGTGCACACCAATGAGATTGAGATGTAAAATGCAATGTGGGGTAATCATTAGTTGGACTGGGGATAGCATGGGCATGGGCCACAATGTTTACAATAATTAATGAAAATTTGAAACAAGGGCAAGATAAAGCTTGCAATTCCATGGTAAAACTTGGCTCACTTTTAGGGAAATTAGAATAAAATGATGCAATGTTATTGGTCTTGATTTAGCATCCCAGCTTCAGTCACTTTTCCATTACCATAATGTAAATTTCCTCTGCCTTTTCAATAAATACTTGGGAATACTAGGGGCTGTAAGCTTGGAAGTGCATTTATAATTCAAAACTAAATTGCACTCTATTAATCACATAAGAAACTCCTATATACCTTCCATCGGCATGGCTGATGCTAACTTCCAACCTCATTGCATCTTCTTGGGCTGACATATAGTGGAAAGACTATATTGAATTTATTGCTAGGTCAGCTACTAAGAAAGTAGATTCACTGTCATGCTAGACAATTTTTCTCTCAGAAATCTCTTACATATCTATGTCTATCATTCGTCTGTGTGTCTGCTATATATTTAGAGAACCTTGATAAAATCCAAAGAAGAATCTGCAGTGTTATTGATCTTGACCTGGCATCTCAGCTTCAGTCACTTTCCCATCACCATAATGTAAATTCCCTCAGCCTTTTTAATAAATACTTTCATGGTAATTGTTCTGATGAACCTTCCTCTTTAAGTTCAGTACTTGATTGGCAGCTAGGTCTCATCATTTTACAGTTGAAATGGCTAGATGTAACCAGAAGTCCTATGCTAAAAGTTTCTTCTATAGCACTTCTCACACGTGAAACTCTTTTCCACCTTATTGCTTCTCAGTCAACATTGATCTTCAAAAATTTAAGTTTAATGTCAACTGTTATCTTCTATTTTAATTCTTGTTCTTTTATTGTATTCTCTCTTTAATAGTATTTTTTCCTCATAGTCTCTCACACTCAGTAATCCCTTATGTCTTAGTGGTGGTATTGCCTTCCTTGGGGTGAAATGATTGGGATAAAAAAAGATGCTTTTGAAGATCACAAAAAGTTTTCAGGCTATCTCCAATATTGTTTTTATTTCAAAATAGAGAACTAAATCAGTATTAAATTGCACAAAACATATGAAGAAAATAATTTTTCATATATGCTTTTGGATCAAATTAAAAATGACTCATGAAAAATTTCACTTCAGCTGAAGCAATGGTTAACTACATTTTATTGATGCTTATTTTGCATTTTTAAAATTTTACTTTTAATAAGAGTAGACATGATTTATTTCAGCATTTAATGTTATTTTTTTTATAAATGAGTTGAAATAAAATTATACTATTAAAATGTGCATCTGTAGTTTAATCACATTCAATGTTGACAAAAATAAGCGTATAAGCTCTTGTACTGAAACCCTGACAATGTGATGGTTTTATAGAGAACTTTATTCAGATTCCAAAATGCCAATTGAAAAAATAATTTTTTTATATTTCAGTATTGATTATTTTTTCTGCTTGAAAAAAAAATACAATATTGAAATTGGTTTGAACACTTACTGAGTTTGAAATATTTTAAAAGGTAAACACTCTCACAATAAAAACAATTTCTTTACATATATTTGAATATGGTGTTGTAATTTTGAACTGTTTCAAAATTCTGATCCATTCACTTCACATGAATATGATTTTGCTACACTGTGTACTGGCATATGGATTTTAAACAAAGAAAATGATGAACCTCACAGGAATAGGGCTTCTATTCTATGTATTTGCATGTGGATTTTTAAATATACTTTCTGTGAAAATGCTACACTTCACACAGCAGATGACTACTGTTTCTCTCCAGTGTTAATATAAAAATACAGCACAACACACTATGCATGATCATGGTTTCTCACCAGTGTGTATATATATATATATATGTGTCGTTTTAAATCTGGTTTCTGTGTAAATGCTGAATTACACGTCACGTATGGTTTTTCTCCAGTCTGAGTCCATATGTGGGTTTTTAAATATGAATTCTGTGAGAATACTAAACCAAACACTTCACATGTACACGGTCTCTCTCCAGTATGTATCCACCTGAGTTTTTAAAGTTGAAGTTCTTAAAAATGCTGAACCACACACTTCACATGTATATGGTTTCTCCCCAGTATGTGACTGCATGTGTCTTTTTAAGAATGAATTTTGTGAAAATACTGAACCACATATTTCACCTGAATATGGTATTCTCACCTCTGAGAAGTGATCTCTGTGAAAATGCTGAACCACACACTTCACAAGAATAGGTTTTCTCACCAGTGTGTGAATGCATGTGTCTTTTTAAAAAAGTGATCTTTGTGAAAATACAGAAGCTCATCCTTCACATGAAAATATTTTTCTCAGCACATCTTTGAATATGAGCTTCTAGATGAGAATACTGTGAATAGTCCAATCCGTGCTCTTGAAATGAATAAGAACTCTCTCCAATGTCTGTGTGCATGTCTAGCTTTCCATAAAATTTCTTTTAATGGACATACTGACAAAAAAAATTGCCTTATGTGTTTTAGAATAAGCACTGAAAATACAAATTATCACATGTCAAAAGAATCTTGTTTTTCTTCCAGATTTTATCAATTGTTTATAAAGCACAAAATCAGAAACTTGACAATGTTATTTATCTTGTTATATTCATCATTAAATTGATGATCACAATTTCTCAATAAAATGTTGATATATCAACTTCAAGAGAGTTGTTTCTCTCAATATATGAAATCTGTAAAGCAAGAGATATTATTAAAATATATTCTAGCATCATTTACATTTAGAAATTCAGTTTGTAGTTCAATGAAAGCTATTATATCTCAATATACATGTAACATTTACACAACCAATCAAAACAAATAAAAGATTCAAAAACTAAAATATAACTCTGAACCATTCGACTACAAATTTTTTCTTTGTTTTTACATTGATAACAATTAAATCTTTTTCTTGAAGATGATACTATTTCAAAGATTCATAAATTTGTATGGAAATGAAGAAATTTATAGTAATATAATAATTTTATCTAAAGACATTTTCTTTGACAAAAAACAAACAAAAAGGAGAAGGCAATGATAATTCAATTATGAAAGCTGATAATAATATAAATCATGTCCACCAAAAAAGAAAGGCTAATGAAGATACCATTGTTTTTATTTAAAATCTCTCACCAGTGTTTCAAATCATGTCCACTAAACAAGAAAGACTAATGAAGATACCATTGTTTTTATTTAAAATCTCTCACCAGTGTTTCAAATCATGTCCACTAAATAAGAAAGACTAATGAAGATACCATTGATTTTATTTAAAATCTCTCACCAGTGTTTCAAATCATGTCCACTAAATAAGAAAAGCTAATGAAGATACCATTGTTTTTATTTAAAATCTCTCACCAGTGTTTCAAATCATGTCTACTAAATAAGAAAGACTAATAGAGATAAAGTTTGCTCTTAAAATGATAAGCTTCAAACCTTGTCTAAATTACATTTACTGATTTGTTTTCATTTTCTTAAAAATCAAATATTTTATCTGCAAGAATTTATAGATATCAAAACACTGTTGAAAATAAGATATATTATCTTTGGCATATATTTAATCAAAAAAAATGAATTCTATCAGGAAGGCATGGGTATATTAGCAGAAGGCACATGACCTGTTGAAAGAGGATTTTTCATGTCATGAAAAGTTTTGCATTCCCTCTTAAAAGTTAAATCATATTAAAGTGGATAGATTAGAAAATTTGCATAGAGAAAGAAAATGGAATTATGAGAAATAAAAATGTTGAAACAAAGGGCACCTAGTGTTTTCCTTGTAGAAAAGAAGATGACTTACCTTGTGTGCACGTATAAAAATGTCAATTTCTCAATAAAATGTTTGGATTATAACTTTTTGTCTAAATAACCTTTTAGATTATAAAATTAGTAACCTTAAGTAAGAAATGTTTAAAATTTTTCCATTGAAAACAGTTTTTTTAAAAAATTTTTCAAGTGGTCTTAAATTTTTGATTAGGAGTGTATATATATATATATATATATATATATATATATATATATTTTTATTATGTCAAAACTTGTTTGATGAAAGATGACAGCAGACAAGAATGATTTTACTTTGGGATTTAAATTTTCTTGTTAGCCTAATATTTAGATTGAATGAATTTATGAGAGGTGCTCC